CCATCCATCCATCCATCCATCCATCCATCCATCCATCATCTTTACCCTTTTCTTCCTTTTCAAGTCACGGGGGTCACTGGTGCCCATGTCCATCTATCATTGTGTGAGAGGTACAGGACACCCTGGACAGGTCTCCAGTCCATCACAGGGACACATTGAGACAAACAACCATTCACTCTCTCACTCACACCTAGGGACAATTTAGAGTTACCAATCAGCCTAACATGCATGTTTTTGGTCTGTGGGAGGAAACCGGAGTACCCGGACAAAACCCACGCAGGCACGGAGAGAACATGCAAACTCCACCCAGAAAGGGCCCGGGCCGGAATTTGATCCAGCGACCTTCTCGATGAGAAGAACAGCTCTACCAACTGTGCCACTGTGCTGCCATGTTCCTAAACCAAAAAAAAATAAATAAATACACAAACCGGCTGAGTTTAGCTGGTAAGGCTGTTTAAATTGATTAACCTGATCCCTTCCTGACCGACGTTAACAGCATCAGATCATTCTGAACTGAGTTTGTTTTTCAGCAGTAAGTGCCGTAGCAGCAATGTTCAAATGTTGATAAAAATGTGAAAATTTAATTAAAAAAAGTGTAAACCTTATCTTGCCAAAAGCAAACTGATAATAACCGTATATTTCCGACTATAAGGCACACTTAAAATCCTTTAATTTTCTTAAAAATCGACAGTGAACCTTATAATCCAGTGCGCCTCATATATGAAAACAGACCCGTTCATTCATATTGCGCCTTATAATCCGGCACACCTTATAGTCTGAAAAATATGGCATTACCAGTAAACTAAAGGTCATCTGCGAGATAAATCCAAAATGTTTTAGAGCGAAGCAGAAAAAATTGCTTCATTCAGGTTTGACTGATTTAATTAAGATTTTAATTTGATGCTGAAACTATTTTTTTTTTTTTAGTTGATTCAAAAATGAAAGCCAGAAAAACAAACAACAACAAAATACGAATACATAAACACATTTCTGTCATCTTGGCTGCTTTCCGTCAGTATCCTGTGAAGTTTGAAGTAAACTTTTAAAGTCGTCGTCACACTCAGAGCCCTGAGTGTTCCTGTTTTATCAAAAGGAACCCAACGTTCCTCGTTATCCCAGCAGAGCTCTGCTCTCAGACAGACGTGTGGTTTCAAACATGACGCAGGGTCTGAATCCAAACCACAGATATTCTCCCTGGATTCAAGTCTTAATTAAACTCACCTCTTTAAAACAACTTTTACTTCAGTTCAAAGGCTTGACATTTGTTGTAAATATACTCTTTAATTGATTTGTTTTACTTTCTTGTCTTTCTGTTTTGTCTGTTTGAAACATGATGATTTAGAAATGGTCAGATCTTGGTCTCTGAATCCAAAACAATAGAAGATTGAACAGTTGGAAGACTTTGTGATCCCTGTTTATATTTATTACTCCGGGTTCTTTACACTATTCCATACATTGTTCTGCATCTTTCTTGTTCCACAATGTGCTATTTCAACAAATCATGTATCAGAACATTCAGCTCTTTCAAGACAATCCTGCTATGACTTTTGGTATTGGTGCAATTTTAGCTTTTTGAAATATTTAGTCTTTTCTGCCATTTTTTTTTTTCCATCCATCCATCCATTATCTTTACCCGTTTATTCCATTTTGGGTCACGGGGGTCGCTGGTGCCCATGTCCAGCAATCACTGTGCGAGGGGCGGGGTACACCCTGGACAGGTCGCAAGTCCATCACAGGGCCACATAGAGACAAACGAGACAAACAACCATTCACTCTCTCACTCACACCTAGGGACAATTTAGAGTTACCAATCAGCCTAACATGCATGTTTTTGGTCTGTGGGAGGAAACCGGAGTACCCGGAGAAAACCCACGCATGCACGGAGAGAACATGCAAACTCCACCCAGAAGGCCCCTGGACCGGGGTTTGAACCAAGGACCTGCTCGCTGAGAGGCAGCAGCTCTACCAGTTGCGCCACCGTGCTGCCCATTTTTTTTTCCACTGAGAAAATGAATTGAGCTTATTTTACATCCGTCAAATCTTTCGATCTGTTTACAACCTTTTACTGCTCCTGCCACATTTCGTTTTGTTTCAGCTTCTTTCAGTTTCCTTCTGTAAAAAAAAAGAAAAAAAGAAGCTTCTTTCAGCTAATTTCAGCTCTCTTTTCAGCTGTTTTGTGCACCTTTCTGCTTTAGTCTGATAACTGCAGCCTTTTTCAGCTTCTTCTAACTTCTTTCTGCTTATTTCAGCTTTTTATGCTCCTTTCAGCTTATTTCTGCAAGTTTCAACTATTTCTGCTATTTCAGCTACTATTTAGCTGTTTTTATGCTAGTTTGAGCTTTTTCAGCTAATTCCACATTTTTCGTGTAATATTTAAAAATGTTCAGCCTAATGCCACAAAAATATGCTCTCTCCCCTTCCTTCTGGTAATTTAAGCTTATTTCTGCTTTTTTAGCTACTTTTCAGCTTTTTTTTTTTTTTTTTTTACATATTTCTGCTATTTTCAGACTTTTTGGTGCACATTTTTGATTCTTTAAGTCTAATATGTCACAACTGTATTCTCTCCACTTCCTTCTGGTAATTTAAGCTTTCTGCCTTTTCAGCTACTTTTCAGCAATTTTTTTTTTTTAGCAAATTTATGAAATTTTGTGCTCATTTCTGCTTATTTAAATCAAATTCAGCAAAAAAGTGTTTTTCTGCTTTCTTCTGCTATAGGCAGTTTCAGCTACATTTCAGCATGCTTCAGCTGTTTTCAGCAAGTTCTTCAGCAATAAGCATTCACACTGCATTTTCACAGGAAATGCAATGTATCTAGTTTTTATTTAAGTTTGTATGTTTTTTTTTACATCTAAGTTATTTAGTGTATTCTGATATTATTTGAACTATTTTTGTTCTATATATAAGTTCAGCTTTTTATTGTACGTCCTTTAAGTGGATTAATAATGTTTTTGCTAGAATCTGTGTGTGTGTCTGTTAGCAAAATATTCAAGTGGCTGCAATTCCGTCATTCCTCAACTTAAACATATTATCATTTAAAACTCTGGTGTAAGAGGCGTTGGGTGATATGCATTCCTTCAAAAAATAGTTTAATTGCAATCAAAACATCTCTTTAATCAGTTTTAATAAAAAACATCTGCAACATTCGTCAGCAGAAAATATCACAGCTGGAGGAAAACCTCCCTGCCTGTGAAGTCCCACTCCTCCTGACTCACGCAGGATTTTTGAAGGTATTAGCTCAGCTGCTGCTGCAACATTTTCCGAATCCCCCGGGACATTTTTCGCCTCAGGAAAGGAAGAGAATCGAACCTATTGATCCGTTCATCGATCCTCCCATTCACGACCACTTAGGCTCGGAGGCCCTTATCGCCTCCCTGAACAGAGAGCAGATCTCCGCTGCCTCCGTCTATCTTCGAGCAACTAATTGACCAAACTGAAGGGAGCTTTTCCAAAACAACAATCGCTCTGTGGACGCTGCCATCTCAAATTGGACTTGTTTCTCATCAGCTGTAAAGCTGTTCCCACAAGAACACCTTTAAACTGACCAGCGAACTTTTCAGTCTCACATACTACAGATTCAAAAGTTTCCTCTAAAACTAGATGTTTTTCCACTAGATGGCAATCAGACTGCATTTAATGATGTGAAAAATAGTTTAATTTTAAAAATCTTTTTATAAGAGGGACAGCTTTGACAGTTCCTGCTTCAAACACAAGTGTTTTATTTCCCTCTCATGAAAACTGTCACAATTTGTTCCAGAACAAAAAGTTTATGATCGGGCTGTTTTCTTGTGTTTTATTTTTTCTGTACAGTTTTTTTGCACTCTGTATACTTGTTGCTTTTTTAGCTAGTCATTTATGAAAATGCTCAGCTATACGTTATCATGAGATGGATGCCGTAACATTTAATTTTTGTGACTTTTATATTTTTACTTTGTACAAAATTGAAATGTAGTGAAATATTTTTAATTCCTTCAAAAACATTGTTCTACTTGCTCTGTTTTTGTCTTCTGATGGTGCTTTTAGCCAGCCTTTTTATACTTGTAGCTAAACTTTTGCTACCTTTAGGTCTAAGTTTGTTAGTTTTGGCTTTAGACTAACATTTTGAAACTTTTATCTTCAAGCTAGTCATGTGTTACCATTAACCAGCTTTTCACTGGGGGAGTGGTGGCGCAGAGGCTAGAGAAGGTGGGCCTGTGATCAGTTACAGGCCACTGGCTCAACTCCCTGTGCTGACAACATCAAAATGTGGGTGGGAATGGTGAAGCACCCACCCAAACCTTCCCCACCCTGGGTCCGAAAAGGAAGAAGTGGGTAAAGATAATGGATGATAGATGAATGGATGGATGGCTTGATAGATGGATAAAACAGGATTAGAATTGTTCCTTCCTGACATTTGCAGTAAAGAAGCTTCTAGGCCTAAACTGCCTAAATAACTCAAATTCAGAGCAGTAAAGCCGCCCTGAGCAGAAGCCCCACAATCAATGTTCCAAATGCTCTAATTTGTTTTTCCAGGAGGCCAGAAGCTTGATTAAAATAGCAGCTCAAACTGGAAACAGAAACTGAGCTTCTTTCGGACGAGATGTTGCAATGCCACATTTTGCTCAAAAGGGGGCGATGCACGCTCAGCAGGTTCAGGCCAGGAAAAAGAAAAGTCCTCCAGACTCTGCTCTCCACAGCATGTAGGATTAAAGCTGACGTACAGCTGCTCAGTCGTTTTTATTCTAATCGACTTCGTCCTTGTTTCCGCCCCACCCCCACCCCAGAGACACAAACAAGCAACCGCACACAGCACATTTGCAAAATATCTAATTATGGAGCACTTGTAATCTCTGCAAGACAGGTTAAAGATTTTACTTTCTGGATCTCCATGGACACTGCTTGTTGCTTAGTGACACAGCCAGGATGAATGAGTGAGCGTTCACTATTATTGCCACTATCTGGAAGAAACGGCACGCAGGGAATTTGGTTATGAATAAAACAAAAACCTTGAAGGTGAAGTAACCATCGACAATTGACGACCTTTCAGAGTCGTGAGCTAACAAATTTTAGCAAACACAAAAATAGCTTTCGCTAAGTCAGGGTTTGGGGTAAAATTTGGAGTGGTAGTGGCTGAGAGTCATCCTTCGAACAAACTAACCGATCCAAAAAGATACATGCGTAAAATTTAAATCTGCCTCTTGAAAATAAATCAGTCACTAAAATGGATTCACCAAGTCGAGTCCTTTCAAACCTTGAACTGCTTCTCTTTGGCAGGTTTGACGTTGACTTCTCGCCATGTTTTGGCGCCCTTCTCCCTCTGGTCCAGGTAGTAGCCTCGCACAGGGTTCCCCCTGTTGGAGGACGGAGCCCTCCAGCCCAGAACCATTTCTGATCCGGTGCAGAGCAGCAGGGCGACGGCCGAGGGAGGAGAGGGAACATCTAGACGAAGAGAAAGAACAAAACTGAAACAAGAGGATTACAGGTGAGAGACGAGGCTCTGGTTATGACAGATAATAAAATGAAGAAACTCCCTGGAAGAGTCCAGGTTTGAGTAAATTTGTGATGCTGGTTGATTAAAAACGAGTTCACGCAGTGAATGGGATCGTAAAGTCAGAGTTGATGACACCAGTGAGAGACAAGTTCAAAGAATCGTTGTCCTTAACTAAAGGCTAATAAAGTCTAACTTTTTATTTGTTGTATCCACCCTACTGTATAAATTATTATGGGTACAACTTCCTGTTGGACACTGGAAGTAGCAGTAAGCATTGGTTAACTATGGTAGTGGAGCACGGACCACGGTTTATTTGAAAGTAATTTTGTCACGTTTCTGCCCCTCCTGCCACGTTTTCGGTCATCATGTTTTAGTTTCCCTGATCATGTCAAGTTTCAGTCTGCTCCTATCTACCTTCACCACACCCACTCTGCTCTGTCACCACAATCAGTAATCATCTCATGCACCTGTTTTCTGCCCTTCTTAAGCTCCATGCTCATTCTCCGACTCTGCCAGATTATCGAACTCTCTCAGATAGTAGATGTCCAGCGAGATCATCATAGCCTTGTTTACCGGCCTTTTTTTGACCTCACGCCTGCCTCTCACATTCCTTGCCCTGCCTGTTCCCTGCCTGCATTAGATTTACCTCTCTGACCACAGTACTGACTCTGCTTTCTACTATTACAACTATGCGTCACGGATCTCGTATTGGCTTTGGATTTGGATCTCTGACCTACTGTGCCTAACCCCTACTTGTTCTACTGGACCTTGCTTTTGGACGCCCCCTCAAACTACGTTCTGCACTATCCCTCTTCTCTGCTACTGTTTACTCAATGAGAGTGGTATCATCGTCTCCAACTCACTGAAGGAGTCCCTCCCTCACCAGACTGTGAAGGTTAGTAACTGCCTCTGTAACCCTCTGAACCTTCACAGTAAAACCCAGATAAGTAACTCTCCTGTCTCTACAGATTGGACACATCTTTGGACCCAGACCTCCACCAGCAGCTATTTATTAATAAATATTTTTAAACTATTCTGTTTGTGTGTGTGTGCAAATCCAAAAACAAATTGTCAAATTTGCATTCAGTTTAGCAGATAAAATGCTGTTTACATTTTAACAACTATAAAGTTTACTAAAATGGTTGTGCTGAGTTCAGGTACCTGTCGTGTTCATGACTGCATGAACAACCAGACCAAACTAAATCAGTGGCTACAACTACGTTTAGAACACGGACCCAAAACAAAGTGTTGCTGTGAAAAGTGATATAGTTTCCATCTCCTACCTACAGATAAGGAATTAAGAAGAATGTGGATGAAAAACGTGAACTTGAAGAAACCACCCAAAACGCTGTATGTGAGCTCATTTCACTTTGTTGACAAATGGCCGACGGAGGAAAACCTGCATCCTACTTTGTGGCTAGACTAGAATAAACCACTAGAGAAGAGACTCCAGATTCTTAGAAGGATTAAAAACAGTGTGATGAGAATATCGGGTATGATTTTAAGTGTATAGAGGGCACAGCATCATAGTATTTGTTCGTCTTTGGTATTACGATTTGTCTCTGCAATTAATACAAGCTCTGTGATGGAGGACTTTAAGGTTTTGTCTGGGCTCTGTCTGTTTCCAGGTAAATCAGATTGTGTCCCACCTCTTAACAAAACGTGGCTGACCTTTTTATTACTGTTTAGATACTAATACTCCTCAGAGCTTTTCAGGTTGTTCATTGCTTCACGGTCAGAATCAACCAAGTCAAATAGCTAAATATGCTAATATGTAATCTGCAGCCACTTCTTCAGGTCGTCCTCCCATCCATGGCCGCAGTGGTATGATTATGTTCTGTTTGAGCTCTGACAGGTGGTGTTCCTATAGCTACATGTTTAAATTAAATCCACAGTGCTTGAAGAAACGACATTAGCTTGTACTGTTCACATAAACAAATGCCGGTTTTGGTCCGCGCTGGAAGTTGTGCTCATAATTCACGCAAGGCACCATGGGAGCTAGGAATAAGGTAGATAACAATTTATAATGTGAGGCCTAGCATTCCTTAAAAGAATGCATATCACCCAGAGATCATCTTGTGGTGAGAAGTGTTTTGCTCTGACCTTGAAAAGAACATCATCTATAATCTCATACAATATAGCAACTCATGCTGAAAGTGTGTCTTGAATCACTCTCAGCTACCACCTCATCAAATTCTAGCCTGATAACTGTAAAACTGACTGAATTATAGCCATTTCTGTGTTGACTATGTATAATCAATAAGCTGTGGCTGCCATCTTGAAAAAGATTGACTCCAGAAGATGATCAGTTGTAGACGCACATCCAGGGATAACGTTCTGAAAGTTTTATTAAAAATATATCCAGTGTGATTAGATATTTTGCTAACAGGCAAAGAGAGTTGACTTTAAGTAGTTACCGTTAATGGTGAAACTTTCAACAAAAAGTAAAGGTCTTGTGCGAGTTGTTAGCACTCTGAGTATTTGCTGGGGATCAGTCTCAGCTACTACCACTCCAAGTTGTAGCTATCTGTTAAATTGACAGAGGTGTAGCCATTTATGTGTTTCTGAAGAACAGGACAGCCATCTTGAATCAGGTAGAGCTTAAAAGGTAATCAGCTGTCGATGAACATTCAACGATTGCTTCATGAGAAGTTTAGGGAACAGACACACCTGATACTCTGGTTGCACTTACTGATGGCTGATTTGACCACAGTGGGGTGAGACTCATCTGAATAGCTGCTGCTTCCTGCTCGGCTCACAGACTTCACCCTGAACACGTACTCCTTCCAGGTTTTCAGCCCGTGAACCGTAAACCTGAGGAAATGCAACGTTCAGATTAACGGTTTAATTAAATTGCTAAATATTGAGAATGCTCAAAAGAAACTTTTACCGTGTTTTAGCTACAGGCTTGTTATTCACAGTCTTCCAGTCCTGTTTGCCAGTTTCACTGCAGTACAGATAATATCCCAGGATGCCATTGGTGTTTTGGGGTTCCCTCCACAGCACCAGCACCGAGGTGTCTGAGTCCCGGATGGCCATGACGGAGCAAGGAGGAGCTGGCAAAGCTGATGAGAATAAATTAAAAATTTTACCAGGTAAATTAATGACCTTTTCATGATCCAACAAAATTCAGTCAGGTCATCTGGACAGTTTCATTTTTTTTGTTGAGACATTTTGTCTTTCATATAAAGGATTTTTGAAGTCTTTTGGAATATTCAGTCAAATCTGACTGGACTTTGTTGGAGTTTCTACCTGGATTATTGAGCATGAACTTTGATGTTTTGAACCATTTTGGCTATGGCTGCTTCAGAGGAGCTGATGGGGGAAAGGGCGGGCCCAGAAACCATCTTATTACCAGCAAACTGGCTGGTGTGTGCTGGGTGTGCTGCTTGTGGGACTGAGTTTCTTGGCGGCTCCTCAGACTGATGAAATCCTTTAGCTGAAGGACGAAACTTCTCAACAACAAAAAAATCAACTGTCCAGATGACCTGACTGAACTTTGTTGGATTTTTAAAAAAATCTGTATTATTGAGCATGAACTTTGACCTCTTTATTGTATTTGTACAGTGTGGGATCCATCTTATGTTGAATATGACTTTTTGTAATTTGATGAGGGTGGAAGAATTCTTATGAGCACATTATTTTTTTAAATTTTGTTAATGAGAGAAAGTGCTTCGCTGGATTGTAGTTTTATCAAGATAATGCCAAAAGAGATTGAAAAAGGGTGACATCTGTGGAAGAGTTGTTTGGAACAGAAAAGTCAGGCAGTTTTGATGCGTTTAAGCCCAGATTTGTGGAGTAAAGTATGGGAATCAAAGTGCTTTGTTTACATTCACTGTGGACCTGCATTTCAGATTATTATATTATATTTTTTTATTATTATAGATCTGTCAGGATTTATGTTGTTTTGGTTGTTTTTTGATAATTTGTGTTTTTTTCTGAGCCACTGACTTGTTCCCTCTCTGTCATTTCGAACCCGGGCCCAAAGCCTGACCCGACCTGAATTCAGGGCAAGCCAGGCCGGGCCATGATAATGTGCTAGATGGGCAGGCGGGGTCGGTGTCGGGCTTTTGATTGCGTCAGCGGATCAGCCGCAATCCAATTATACGGAAACATGGCTTGCCATACATTCTAATTATATGGCGACATGGCTTGCTATACATTCACCAGCCACACGCAGCCATTTCACCGCGAGCTGACGGGCCTTGAAAGTGATAAAATAAAGTTCAGTTAAGCTTCAGATGGGACTACACTGCCAGGCAACGATCCATTGTCCAAATGGACGTTCATTTAGCAGCTGCACTCAGCGGACACGCGCGGCCGATGACCCAAACAGGTGAGATCCCAAAGCAGACATGTCAGAGCGAGGTCTGTGTCTGAATAATACAGAATGCAGACAGAAACAGGGTTTTAATGCTCTTTGATGGCCATGAAAGGACAAACACCCTCTCGCTCCGATCGTCTGCCCCTTTTATTCAGCCGTGCGTCCGCCGACCAATAATAACTATAAGCAGTCAAAGCTTAACTAAAAATGTCGGGGGGTGGGGATGGAGGGGGGGTTGTTTGGTTCAGACCTGTAATTCCAGTTAATTCATCAAGTCGGGTGGTTCAAAAATGATGGATAGGGGCTGGGGCCGGGTCGGACCAGATTTTTTTGCCTCAAATGCGACTCTACACCTGTTCCCTGTAATCATTAGTCTCACCTGTCTCCACTTGACCCATCAGCCTCAGTCCATTTATCCTCTGCTCTGCGTTCAGCATTCGGTCATCCTGTTGTCCTGCCAACTTGTCGCCATGCTTGTCTACATTTTTTTTTGTCCTCTCATGCTTATTGCTGTAAGTATTTTTGTTTTTCTTGATTATTATTATTATTATTATTTTAAATCAAGCTCCTTGTGTTGGCTGCATCCTTGTATCCTTCTTCCTTTCCACTTTGAAAATACCTGGAGAAATGCTGGAACTTTGCTTTAACTCTAAATAATGTCTGGGTGTAAAGGTCACTGATGATAAATACTTTAGCACAAACTTCCGAAGTATTTTGCTGAAGCCAAAGGTTTTAAAAGTGCTGCTGTGTCCTTGTGTAAGTCTCGCATAGGTGTCTTGTTTTTAGTGTGTTTTTTGTTTTTCATGGAGAAAACACTTTTTCTGTTAACCACATGCTTTTTCTACAAGTATATATTTTTACTTAAAGCAAAAATCTTTATTTATAATCTTGACTTCTTTTAGTTTTCAGTTTTATAATTTTAATTACCTTTTAATGTTTTTAATGATGTGCAACCTTTTTCTGTGTGCTGTTTTACGACTGTTTTAAGCTGCTGCCTATTACGTCAAAATACAAGGTCCATCAGAAAGTGGAAACAAAGGATGCAACTTAGGATCTCCTGGTTCGTTCTTCGGTTATTTGCTTTATGAATTGTGTTTAGATAATACATTTACTGAGTTTGTATTAAAACAGACAGGTGTAGAGCAGAAAAGGAAATGCTGAAGGATCCACTGCCTGTCAAAATGACACTGGACTGACGACACAGAGTTTCTGAGCAAATGCCAGGATGTGACAGGATGGGAGTGTTAACATGTCAGGTGTACTCAGGTAAAGTGGAAAACAAAGAGTACTATAGTATACTTAGTACAAATACAGTGGAGGAAAAATACTCAGGTACAGAGTGAAACATTAAATACTATAGTACAAACACTGTGGAGGAAAAGTACTCAGGTAATGAGAAAAACACAGGAGAACTATAGTACAAACACAGTGGAGGAAATGTACTTAGGTAAAGAGGAAAGCATGGAGGACTATAGTACAAATACTGTGGAGAAAAAGTATTCAGGTAACAAGGAAAACACAGAGTACTATAGTACAAATAATGTGGAGGAAAGTACTCAGGTAATGAGGAAAACAAGGACTACTATAGTATAGTGCAAACACTATGGAGGAAAAGTACTCGGGTAACAAGGAAAACACAGAGTACTATAGTACAAATACTGCAGAGGAAAAGTACTCAGGTAAAGAGGAAAACATGGGGTACTATAGTACAAATACTGTGGAGGAAAAGGACTTGTGTAAATAGGAAAACATGGAATGCTATAGTACAAATACTGTGGAGAAAATGTACTCAGGGAAAGAGGAAAAGGAGTACTATAGTACAAATACTGTAGAGGAAAAGGACTTGTGTAAATAGGAAAACAAGGAATGCTATAGTACAATTACTGTGGAGGAAATGCACTCGGGGAAAGAGGAAAACGAGTACTACAGTATAATACAAAATACTATAGAGGAAAAGTTCTCAGGTAACAAGGAAAACACAGAGTACTATAGTACAAATACTGTGGAGGAAAAGGACTCGGGTAAAGAGGAAAACAAGGAATGCTATCGTACAAATACTGTGGAGGAAATGTATTCAGGGAAAGAGGAAAATGAGTACTATAGTACAAATACTGTAGAGGAAAAGGACTTCGGTAAAGAGGAAAACGAGGAATGCTATAGTACAAATACTGTGGAGGAAATGTACTCGGGGAAAGAGGAAAACGAGTACTACAGTATAATACAAAATACTATAGTGAAAAGTTCTCAGGTAACAAGGAAAACACAGAGTACTATAGTACAAACACTGCGGAGGAAAATTACTCAAGTACAGAGTAAAACACAAATGTTTAAAACATAAATAAATTCTAAAGGACCAAAATGTACTTTCTTCTGATTATCTGGAATCACATTTTGGACACGATATAAAAAACAAACACGGGAGAAGAAAACCTGCAAATAGAATTATTATATTTTGGAAGAGTTTGGTTATTTTTGTTCCATTGTACTTATCTCTGTCTTTAAGCCTTCTGTTTCTGGTCGGTGTATTAGTTTTGATGGTTTTATGTATTTTAATTTTGGGATTCTTGCAAGTAACAGTTCTGTTTTTTCTTTATACGAGAGAAACTAACACTTTTTGAACTTTTCAAAAATATATTGCAAACTTTTTAATTCAGGACCTTCCTATCTACATGAAGTTTGTTTACAACGTTTAAAGATGTTTTCTTTACATAATCCTTAATTTTGTTACTTTTTGTGTCTCAGGTTGGTTAGTTTGCATTTTTTTTAAAAACTACAGAACAGTTCCTGGAGGCCTTGACGCCACGCGTGCAAATAATTACTGATTCAGGAGCTTGCTGGTAATAATGTAACTGACTTTTTGCAACAGGCAGAGATAAATCCGCTCCCAGCAGATCGTCTCTTACCTTGTGGTTCTGCAAGGGCGATGGGTGCGCTCGGTTCAGACGGGTCGCTGACTCCATACTTGTTGACGGAGCGCACTCTGAAGTAATACTGCTTCTCCTTCAGCAGGTCGAACACTGGGAACCTGGGAGAGTTCACCACCAGGTCCAAACTGGCCAGACTCCAGCTGCTTTTTCCTACCAACGACTGATCAACAGAAAAGACTAGATTAATTTAAAAAGAACAAATTATAGATAAATAAATCCTAATGATCCAGAATTTGTTCTGGAATAGGCTGGAGGATTCTGTCCAGACAACAAAGTCTCATTTTAGAATAAAAACTGACTCAGCGTTCACGCCACAGTTTTCCTGTATTTTTATTCTTATATGGTTTTTACAATCTAAATACTGTGCATACTTTGTGAAGTTGTTCATCAGAACATTCAGCTCATTTAGCTAAGAGTTTGGGCTTTTTTAACTTTAATACTTTTCCAAATATTTAAGTTTAGGCTATTTAATTCCTTCAAAGATAGTCTCTTAATCTGCTTTAGCAAATCAACTCATTTTTTGTGCTGCTACTTTCAGGTTTTAGCTGATGTTATGCTAATTTTAACTTTTAGCTAGAGCTTTGCTTATTCCTGTTTAGATCTTATTTTTTTTTTCGGGGACATGCACGCTGTAGCTTTTTAGTTAGCATTTTGCTACTTTTAGCTACCCTTTGGCTACCTCTGATTTTCGCAAGTGTTTTGATACTTTTAGTTTTTAGTAAACATTTTGCTTTGCTTGGTTTTTAACTAGCAATTTGCTTCCTTGATTAGCTACTTTTTTGCTATTCGTAGCTTCTACCAATTTAACACTTAATTTTAGCTAGCATTTTGCTGCTTTGGCTTTTAGATTGTATTTTGTTACTTTTAGGTAGTCTTTTTCTTTTAGTTTTAGCTAGTATTCTGGTACGCTTTGCTCAGTTCCAGCTTATTCACTAAAGTAATTTGACTCTCAGCTTTGTAAGCTGCATTTAAAAAGAAAGAAAGAAAGAAAATGTTCTTGTTTTACTTTGGTCAAACTCAGCAGCTAAAGTTTAGCTGCGGATCAAACAGATTTTCCTTCAGACAAGAATAAAGACGGGTAGTTTGGTGCGACGAGCAGAAAAAACATCCAGACATGAAAACAAACTCTTCATAGTAAAAACAAAAACTAAAATGACAAAAAGTAGAACATATTCCTCGTGTCCAACTCTTGACGTTTTTTTTTTTGTAAATATTTCTGAAAAACCACAAACATTATCTAAAGCAGCTGTTGTAAAACTTTGTGGACTGACTTTTCCACTCTTTAATTTTTTCTTTTAACACTTTTCCCCCCCAAAAATCTTTATTTTTCATCTCGTTCTCTGAAAATAGAGCGGCACGCGCCGAAGGGACCAGCGATAATAAAGTTCTTGCTTGAGGGCAAAAAGGTGATTTGAATGTTCCCTTCGTTACGTAAGTGGAAGTGAGGCAGCAGCTTTTGATAATTTCAGGTGCCTTTGACCGATCTGACAGTTTTATTACTTCAGTAACGTATAAAACTTCAATAAAAATCTATTTCCTGTGGCAGTTTTCTGATTATTGGAGCCAGGAGCTGCTGAGTGTCTGTGTGGATATTAGGAAGCTGAGAGCCTTTATTGTTGCAGAGAACGGGTCAGAACCTCACTTCTGATTTTATGCTTCAGCAGCATTTTGAAGTTTGACTCATAAATCAGAGAAATAAATCAAAGTGGACTTTTAGGATGTTTACGAAGTGCATTGTTTATTAATTTAAGTAAAAATTGACGAGTCTGATCAATGTATAAATCACAGAATTAATTTAAAGTGATGGACACTTTCTTTGATGGACATTATTTGTTTAATTACATAAATGAGATGGATCCAAACGGCAATTTTCCAGAATTTACTGAGATAAAAAAAAAACAATAATTGCGTAAACAACGGAACAGAACGATGCTCCAATAAAGTCTGACGGCTGTTAGATCCATCAGCTTTTACAGCCTCAGTGATCAGATTCAGCTCATGTCTTCAGTAAACAGTCGTGTTAAAACATATAATCGATTCGAGGCCACGCTGACGTTCTGCAGGAAGTTGTTCTGCAGGACGTTGTTCTGCAGCCTGACTGGTGCTTCAGGCTTCTATCAGCTGCAGACCTTGACAGAAACAAAAATATTTCTTTAGCTGATAATATTCAGCCGGTCTGCAATGGATTTTGACCACTTTACGTCAAGCAAAACTCACTAAATGTTTTGTTTTTCAACTTGTTGGTAAAAAAGAACCACTAGCATCTAAGGCTTGACTGAAAAATTTCCCTAAACACAAAGAAACAACAATATCAACACATTTTCAAGTCCGGATATTAATACTCTGACAGATATTTAGCTAAGATTTGGTATAGTAGTAGCTGAGACTGATCAACACATTCTGAGCATTCATAGATTATATAAGATGTTTGTTACAAACTGCTTGGAGTCAACAGTTTTAGTAAAACATCTCATGAGCCACTGGGGAGATTTTAATGAAACTTCCAGGATATGATCATTAGATGTGCGTCTACGACTCAAAACCTTTAAGAGCCAATATAAGATGGCTGCCCCCAGCCAACACATCTTATAAATCACAAACACGCTATATGTTGGGGTCAGTCAGGTCTCCATCTCACGTCTCCAGCTCGTCCAAAATGCTGCAACTCGGTTCTTAACAGGAACTCTTAGGTTTGAACGTATTTCACCAGTTTTGACCTCCATTCACTGGCTCCCTGTGTGTGTCAAAATTGATTTTAAGATTCTCCTGTTGACCTCTAAGTGCATGAATGGCCTTGCACCCTCATACCTCTCTGACCCACCATATTTTCCACCGTACACGTCGCATTGCCCTGCAGTATAAGTCACAGCATCAGTCCAAATATGTCTAATAAAGTGGAAAAAAAAACATAAATGCACGCATCGCGTTTGTTACGCGTCTCCGCTGACAACCTGGAAATGTGGGCCGAACCCGGAAATGTAGGCCGGTGTTGTGCCAAAAATCGATTGGCTGCCAAATGGCGACCACAGGAGTATGCACGCGAGAACTTTAACAAGAATTTAACAAGATTAACACTTAAAAACAATTATTTGTTTGCTCAGAATTATAGCAAAGGTTTTGTCTCGGTCTAACTTTTCCTTTAACTTGCCAGTCAAATCAGCTGCATTTCAAAAGCTGATACACGGAAGTAGGCTCGTGCATGAGAGGACTCGCTGTGCATTTCTTCAAAATTTAACAATATAACCACCTAAAAGCAATTATGTGTTTGCTTGAAATTATAATAAAGGTTTGTCTTAGTTTAACTTTTCCTTAATAAAAGGACTTTAACGGTCAAATCAGCTGTATTTCAAAAGCATTCGCCATGCTGATGAAGATTCTCAGTCATCTAGGACATGATAAATTCAAAAACATTCAATACAAAAACAACTGGACTTTATTTGTAACAGAAGACGTTTCGCTTCTCGTCCGAGGAGCTTTCTCAGTTCAAAGAGCAGTGAGTTGAATTCAAAAAGCGTTCGCTGCTTCGGTGCTCTGGGAGCACGCAGAGGGAGGACATCAGGAAGGAGCAATGCTGTGCATTTCTTAGAAATTTTAACAAGATACGAACCTAAAACAATTATTTGTTTGTGTGACATTATAGCAAAGCTGTGTCTCAGTTGAACTTTTACTTAATAAATCCCCTTCAATGGTCAAGTTAGCTGCATTTCGCCGGGGCGGATTTGACGGTTGCTCCATGCGAGCTGGATGAAGGTGGCAAGCTGATTGTGTCAATAGCCACTTTTACCTATTACATGACATAATGGCATTCCATACACCTCGAATGCCATCTAGTGGCTGAAAATGGTAGTGTTCAATATTTTCAGTCAGAATGAATGAAAACAGTCATATCTCAGCCAAAATTTGATTTATAAATATGGGAAAAAAATCCATAAATATGTTGCTTCATCGTATAAGTTGCAGGGCATGCAAATTATGCAAAAAAACATGACTTATAGGCCGAAAAATATGGTACTTCAACCTTATGTTGGTTCTCGGGTGTGGAGATCATCAGACCAGCTGCTCTTGGTTGTATCAAAAACCAGGCTGAAGCTCAGAGGAGATCAGGCTTTTTCAGTCGTGGGCCCTAAACTGTGGAACAATCTGTCCATCAACATTAGACAGGCTGCTTCACTTCCTGTTTGTAAATCTCTCCTGAAAACACACCTGTATTCACTGACGTTTAACATAGTGTGATTCGATTTACCATTTCATTGTTTTTGTGTTTTATTTTTTATGCCTTTAATTACATCTTGCTATTATTCCCTTTCTTTAATTAGTGCCTTGAGATTATTGTTAAGCACTTTGGGAACAGCTGCTGTTTTAAATGTGCTTTATAAATAAATTTGACTTGACAAAAATGGCTACAAATTAGTCAGCCTAATTAGCTAAAACCTGGTGTGGAAGTAGCTGAGCGTAATTCACAATGCATCATGGTCTGACTGGCTTTAAGTTTATGTCAGCCCTCAGCACAAGATCATTTTAGTTTAAAATGTTGGCATCAAAGGTGCTGGGCCTTCCTTCAAGGAATACTTGACCTTTATTTGTATTCCAGCTTCGACCTCTTGACATCTTTGATAAGCAGCTCGTCCCTGAGGACGCTCCATAACTTCAGAGCTTCTATCCAGATTCAAAGTTTAGCGTCACAAAGGAGTCCAATCTACTTCAAGTCCAGTCGAGGCAGATTACGTGTTTGAAGATGTTCACATGTGAAGTTTACAATTAAATATGATCTGATGGAAGAAGCGGGTAAAGATAATGGATGGATGGATGGATGATGGAAGAAATTCAGTTTGGTGATGCAGAACTGTGTAATGTATCTTTGTTTGTCTGTAAGGAGGTGTGTGTGTGTGTGTTTGTGTGTGTGGGAGTCAAGCCTGACCCTCTCCACGTAGAAGGTCAGCGGCTCCCTGCCTCTGGGTTCAGGCTCGGTCCAGCTCAGCACCACGTAGGTGTCGCTCACCTCGCAGGCGTGCACGTTCGTGGGAGGAAAAGGAGCTTTGACCTGACCTGCAGAGCAACGAGAGGAGGAGGAGGAGGAGGAGGAGGGCAGAAGAAGAAGAAGGTCAACGAGAATGAAAGTGGAAAGTGCTGGCTGAGGTACGGGCCTTTTTCTCCTCTTATTATTTCCCTGTGCACACAGAGTCTGCTGGATTGCACAGCAGTGGGGGAGAAACTCAGAACCTTGCAGACCCGGTTTAACCTTGGTTCTTTTTTCATGCCGTGTACATCAGATGAGATCAGCCGGCTCGGATCAGAGACCCTGCAGACGAGGGACGACGCGAGGCTTCAGATTGAGCAGAAACGGCTCGTTTTGGTGTCCGTTCTGCTTCTGCAGTTAACAGAACCGCAGGACGGACCAGAAAAGAACTTTTACTGCAGAAAGAGAGCAGTCGTTTGAAAAAAACGCTGATCTGTTAGAGTCCACGTGCTCGTGTGCGTGCATGTGTGCGCATGTGTAATCAGTGCGACTCCTTTTATATGCTTGCTTTAGTGGGGAATAATTGCTGCAGTGACAAAAAAATAAAAATAAAACAGTAAAATGTGCTGATATTGTCCTTTTAGAACCTCAACTCACTAAACACATCATAAACTTTTTCAAACTTGTAATTTGACATTTTTATTATAAAGGTTTTTTTTTTCTTTAAACACATGCAAAACTGTAAATTAGAACATTTAAAACAGTAAAAACAGACTTTCACTCATATTTACCTCATAACTGCCAGATTACCAAAGGTAAAGGTGGACAGTAATGTTTTTGCCCATGTCTTTGTGTGTGCATGTGTCTGTTAGCAAAATTTCTCATAAACCACCTGATCAATTTTAACGAGACCTTCAGGAAATAATCACTGGATGTACAACTACGATGAATTACCATTTGGAGTGAACCCAATTCATGATGGCCGCCACGGCCTACTGAACTTAAATAACACAAAGAAGCTCCTTACAACAAAAGGCTTACAGCTATAAATGCAGAGAAAGTATTTTACGTTTGCCAGATTTTTATTTGTAATAAAATTTATCATTTCCACTTCGCAGTGACAGTCTCTTTTGTGTTGGCTATAAAATCACAATAAAATACTTTGAAGTATGTTGTTGTTAAATGAGAAAATGTGGAAAAGTGAAGCGTTATTTAAAAAAAAAAACCTTTTTACAGGTACAAGCCAAAAGCCACAACTACCATTCTGGGGGAAAAAAGCAAGATAAAGAGATTTTAAAGTCACTTTTAATGAAGATTAATCAAATAAATATGTTAAATTTAATTATCACAGAAGCCTTTTTGATTTGGCACGTGTGTGCATACGTTCTAAGCCAAACCTCCATCGTAGAAGAGATAAAAAGTTTTTAAAAAGCATTTGCCTCCTCCAGCTTTTCCTATCTCTGACTGTGAGTTAGATTGTCAAGGTTATCAGTTCCCTTTATAGGCGTTTATTCTACCTCAGGCCATTATGTGAATTTACCGGGACACCACGGGGAACTTTTCATTCTTTTCACTGCTTCAAATGGAGCAAATGCTCATATCTTCAGCCATACAATTACTGCAGCTCGTTGTTAAGCATAATATGAAGATGCATTAAAGCCAAAAGCCTGGAGCAACCTACAGGCGAGGAGGCGGCAACACACGTTTCAATGAAACATAAGTGCGTTGTAAAAAATAAACAATAAAAAAGTACAGCCGTCTCACCTTCCAGCTCATCTTTTGTAACGGTAATGGTCCTTCCTCGATCCACTCGGACTACTGAAAGAGGACAAAGACATGAGGTGAAGGGAATACAGACAGAAGAGACATGAAAGTAATAAAGTTCTATGAGAACCTATGATGACACTATTTATTTTTCATGTTTTGCAAATGTTCCAGAAGCAGCCAGACGCAGAGAGATGAGACACGGCAGGATGGAGAGGAGACCGGAGGGGAGCCAGCAGCCTCGTGTCTGTCCTTCATCTGTGTTTAATGATCCAAAGCACCTGACCACAGTCCACCTGTCCTCGCTCTTGCTCACATCTCATCCATCAATCCCAGCGCGGCCCTCTGCCGAGGATCTGACCCAACCGAGCGGCTTCAAAGGTAATCTTTGAAGAAACAAAGCTTTGCACTCGACGATGTCGTTACTGATCAGTCGCAGGCAGAACCGCTCGAGTTGAGATCTAAATCTGAACACGTGCATGTTTTATTTTCTGGCCGTGCTGATGTCGCTGCGGGTGAACCGGGGCAACTGAGGCTGATGGGAACAAAGAGCAAGATGGAGCTGTGGACATGTTGCTGATGCTGTTTGCAGGATGCTGCTGGTGTCAATATACAGTACAGCAGTCCCTCGATTATTAATCTATCTATCTATCTATCTATCTATCTATCTATCTATCTATCTATCTATCTATCTATCTATCTATCTATCTATCTATCTATCTATATATATATATACATATGTATATATATATGTATATATATATATATGTATATATATATATATATATACATATGTATAGAATAAAGTAATCTAATCAAGATTTGAAGTCAACATGTGACTAGATGAGCTCAAGTAATTAAAAATAAGGTAATTAACCATTTCAACTTGGAGCTTTGTAAATC